GGGGAAGGGGACAGTGGGGGGGGCAAAGGGGAGGCTAGAGGAGGAGGAGGGGATTCTGAAGGGCAGGGGTGAGGCGGGTGGAGGAGGGGAAGGAGGGTGAGGGAAGCCGGAACATGCTAGGCGTGCATCTGAAAACACAGCAGTGAAGCTGCTGAACCTGCTTTAGGAACTGGGAGAGAGCGGAGTGGGGAGGTGTAGGGGGGAGGCTGGCAGGGGCTCACTGAGCGCAGGGGGAGTGTCAGGAGGAAAGCCCCTGAGCAGCTGGCAGGCCCTAATAAAACGCAAGAAGCCTTCCTCTCCCCACCCTGTTCTAGAGCTGGAGCCGGGACTGCCCGTGAACCGGGGAACGCCAGGCCACACCCGCGCGCCACGGCCCCCAAGACGCGCAGAGACAGCGAGCTCACGTGAGCCACGGAGGGCCACACGCTTGCTGCAGCCACCAGGCTGTGAGCAACACAACCAGACAAGTTCAAGTGTGACGTTAAATGGCTTCCCCCGCCCGCCCGGTGGAGACGGGGCTGATGGTTACTCCGCGCGGCTGAGGGAGCGTCTAGCAGAGCCTGAGTGTGGTAAACAGCGGCGTGGGAGACCCGTCTCCACAGCGGCGGGCCCCACGGGAGCATCCACAGCCCGGGTCAGACTCCCCGAGCTGACCCCCCCCGCGGCTCCGTCCACCCCCTGCCAACCCCCATCCAGGGCGGCAGTGGGGCACCCTGAGTCCCTGCCTCTGGAGGGAGGAAGAGGTGGACTATTTGTTTTTTCTTTCCATCTTGTTTGTTCCTTTGTCCATCTTTGAGAAGGAAAGGAGGGGGGCAGGGAAATGGAGGGACAAAGGGTAAACAAATGCAGCCGGAGTCCTCACGGGACACTAGGTGGAAAATGAACCACACAACTTGTGAGTGGGGGCGGGAGGGAAGCCTGGGAGATGCCGGCGACGCGTCCAGGAAGAACTGTACTCTCCACCTACGTCCCACCATCCTCTGCACGTCCCCTTCATAAAAACAACAACGAATTAAAAAACATTGACCAGCTGGGCATGGTGGCTCACGCCTGTCATCCCAGCTACTCAGGAGGCTGAGATCTGAGGATCACAGTTCAAAAGCCAGCCCAGGCAGGAAGGTCTGTGAGACTCTTATCTCCAATCAGAAGTGGTGCTATAGTTCAAAGTGGTAAGTGGTAGAGCACTAGCCTTGAGCGAAAAAGCTCAGGGACAGCACCCAGGCCCTATGTTCAAGACCCATGACCAACAACAACAAATAAAGGCAGGTGAGTGGATAGAGGGATGGGTGGGTGGGCGGACAGATGGGTAGATGAGTGGATGGAAGGAGGGGTGGGTGGGTAGATGGTTGATGGGTTGGATAGAGGGATAGGTAGATGGAAGTGTGGATGGATGAATGGATGGATGGATTTAACAGGTGGGTGAATGGATGATATTTTATGGATGGGCGAATGGCAGATGGGTGGGTGGGTG